TAATTATTAAAGAATTTATATAATGTTGCAACATAATGTTGCAACGTTAAATGTTGCAACATTTTAATTATGGTATCCATCTTTAATAGATACTAAACTAATAGTGTATAGCTTTATGTATATATGCATTAACTTTATTTGGTTAAGAATACTATTGGCTCGTATCTAAGACTCAATATAAAACACTTGAGATAAACACAAAATAAACATAAGGTAACTCAAAGAAATTTTAGAGATTATGCTAAAAAATAAATATTAATATTTTAAATAAAATCTCTTTATTTTTATGTTATTTGTAACCTGTAATTTAAATTAATGAAGAGATTTTTATAATCTGATTACTAATTTGAGAGAAATAAGAATTTAAAGTCAACCCATTTTTAATATGTATCATGAAATTTGGCACCTGAAGTAAATGAATATGATTGGCTAATCTTATATTAATTAATCACATGCAGTTTGAAAAGTCAGCGTTTGAACTAAACTATATAGAGATTAACTTTGATTTAAATAAAGTTTTATCTTTTTTTTTGCAGCTTTCTTTTTGTGTGATATTAACTTTAAAAACTTTGGCACCTCTTTTTTTTTCAATGTTTTATGAAAAATTTTAATGAAAAAAATGACCTGGCTTCTAATTTTTATGTTAAAATTTTTAATTTTTATTAGTGCATAATTGCACACCTTTTATAAAAAGGGTGAGAAAAAAAATGTAAATCAAACTTCATCTATGGGACATCGGTTAAAGCAAAAAAAACATTTAATAAAAGTATCTTTAAGAAATAAGCTGATTATTGTCAAAGATTCTCCATTTAAAGAGGATTTGTCATCTGAGAAGAGTTTTTCATTCGATAAAAATTCTGAAATATCTTCTGATGATGAGATTATATGAGTGGATTCCAAACTTGATAATGAACCTGAAATACGTTAAAAAAGCTGGTTTCTGATACAAAAAATATTAAATCTAAACAGCCACTTTAATACATAGGTAACAGTATCCGAACTCAAAAAAGACGCAAAGCAGCTGCAAAGAAAATGGCTATACAAAATGGCAATACTATTACGCAATTTTTTCTTTCTGTATAAAATGAACCTGATACACAAATGGATGATACTCATTCAAATGAATTAGAAGATCATGATGATATCAATTCATCATCCACAGGGTCAGAAATAGAGAGTGATGATGAAATTGAATTAATAAAGTTAATTTTTTTTATAAAAAAAAAACTTCAAGATGAGATTCTATTACCTGAACAAAAATGGCGATTAGGAGCTGTACTTCAATATTGTTGATGCTGTCAATTAAATATCAAAAAAAATGAAAGCCAGCCTTTTTATTGCATAATAATTAGGTAAAAATGAATATTTTATTCGTCAACTTCGAAAGTGGACTCGTATGTTAGTACAAAATCAAGAAATTTCTGTTTCAATACATGAGAAACATATTAAAATTAAAAGTCTTCTTGATGATGAAGACATACGCCATGAAATTGTTAACTATTTACGAATAAATAAATTTAAATTTTATTTATCAGATTTTATTAACTATATATCAAATAATATATTTCCAAAATTAAGCATTGAACGTAAAACTAAAATTGCGTATGTAATAATTTTTTTAATTATTGAACTTTATATTAAAATATATTTTTAAATATTTTTTTATTTCTTAGAAAAAATACAGCTCGACATTAGCTTTATAAGATGGGTTTTCAATATAAAAGGTATCATAAAGGAATATATATCGACGGACATGAAAGAGCTGATGTTATTGAATATCATCAACAATTTCTTACTCAAATGGCAGAGTATGGATTATAATTTATTTATTTATTTATTTAATGTTTATAATAAAAATTAATATAATAAAATTTATTTTAATAGATATGAAAAATTAATGCTACGTTTTGAAGGAAATGATTTGGAAATTCAAATAAATCCTATTCTTAATGAAACAGATAAACCTCATATTTTTATTACTCGAAAAAAAGGACAAGGTTGAGCAATTCACGTTAGTGATTTTTTATGTGAAACTATTAGAAAACTTAAACTTAATGAAGAACAAATAAATACTGTTGGTGAAAACTTTCCACATGAAGCAAAAACAATAATATATCCTGGAAAAAATCATGATGATTATTGGAACATTGAACAATTGATTAAACAGGTATATAATTATGTTATTTTATAAAAAGTATAATTTTTTTATTAATTAAATTTACATATATAGATTGTTAAAAAAGCTATTCCTATTTTTGAAATAACACATTCTGGAGCTATTGCTATATTTGCTTTTGATAATTCTTCTTCACATGGTGCTTATGCTTCAGATGCACTTAATGCAAAAGCAATGAATATAAATCCTGGTAAAAAATAACCAAAAATGCGCAATACATTCTTTAATGGTCAAATACAACATATGGTTTTTCCAAATAATCATCCAAATTCTGAATTACAAGGAAAACCAAAAGGAATGAAAGCAATTCTTCAAGAAAGAGGATTATAGAATGAAAAATTAATTGGCTTTTACAAAAATGATATACCTGAAGAAAATTGTTGTATGCAACATATTTTAAAACAACAAGATAATTTTTGTAATCAATCTTGTTTAATTCATGAAACAATTAAAAATTTGGGTCATAAAGTTATTTTTTATCCTAAATTTCATTGTGAATTCAATTTTATTGAGATTTGTTAGGGAGATGCAAAACGATATACAAGAAGAAATTGTGATTATACTTAGCGAGGTTTGCAAAAAATTGTACTAGAAGCATTAGATTCAATTTCTTTAAAACAAATTTGAGGTTATGCACAAAAGTCTTTTAGGTATATGGATGCTTATAGAAAAGGACTTAATGCAAAGCAAGCAGAATATGCAGTTAAAAAATATAAAAGATATCATGTTATTCCTCAATCGATTTTTGAAGAATTTTCTTAAATTTATATATAAATTTAATAAAGTATAAATATCAATCACGTGATCCATATATAAATTTATAAATTTGGCACTTTTTAGTCACATGATTTTATATGTTTATATGTAATTTATAAATTTAGTATTAAAAAAAAATTTACTGTGACTAGACGATACAAGCCAATATAAATTTAATAAATTTATTTCATCTTTTTATAATTATTAGATATCAAATATTTTAAGTTTTTTAAAATATTTTATAATCAATTTTATACATATAATTTAAGAAATATATTTTAAATAAAAAAAATGAAAAAAATAAATTTTTTATAATTAAATAAAAGATAAATTTTATAATCATATAATTCAATTAATCTTATATCTATAAGATAATAAATCTGTTAAATGATTTATAGTAAAAGATATCTAAGTTATTTCATATAAAATATAAATATATATTAATAATGATTCTAAAAAAAAAATTTAAAAAAAAATCTTTAAATTTATTTTTTAAGTTAAAATCTGTTTTTAGAAAGTTGAAAACTTAAAAATAATACAAAAAAGATTAATAAAAAATAAATTAAAAGAAAGGTTAGTAATATTTTCTAAAATAAAAGTTAAAAAAATCTTTTAAAATTTATCTTTTAAATCAAAATACCTAATATAAAAATAATAAATTATTAGTAATATCTTTAAAACACTTTTTAAATCAAAATCTATTTCAAGAAAATCCAAGTTATAAAAATAAAAAAGAAAATGTTCTAAAAGTAAAATTAAAAAAAACTTTAAAATTTATCTTTTAAATCAAAATCTATTTCTAAAATCCAAGTTCTAAAAGTAAAACTAAAGAAATATTAATAATATTTTTAAAAGTAAAATTAAAAAATTCTCTAATACTTATCTTTTAAGTTAAAATCTACTTTAAAGTTCAAATCTTAAAAATAAAATAAAGGAGACATTAATAATGTTTCTAAAATACAAAATTAAAATAATCTTTAAAATTTATCTTTTAAATTAAAATCTATTCAAAAAATTCATTCTAAAAAAGAATAGAAATATTAAAATTTTAAATGATTTTTAGCTAATCCAATTAATTTGATCACTGAAAAACTAATTTTATAAATTTAACTTGCTATTATTAGGTTCATTTTTAGTTATCTGAATGTTTAAGTTAAAAGAATTATATTAATTAATTCTATTCATTAGAGTTACAATCTTAGGATATTTTTTAAATCTTATAGATGTCTATTATATTTGAATCAATTTGGCAATTTATTATATCTTAGAATTTAAGATTTATTTATTCAAATATAAATGATAAACTCAAAAACAAATTAGTGTAAAATATCATAATAAATTAAATGAGAAATAATATTAAAAAAAAAAAAGTAATTTTTATAGGTTTAAATTGATTTTTTTTATTTATAACTTGAAACTCATATAAAAGATATAAAACTTATTAGTAAATTAATTTATAACTTGAATAAAATATTCTTTATTTATACAAAATTAATTTTCTATTGTTAACTATTTTAATATATTATAAACTAATTATATTTATAAATTTCAGATATAATATAATGATAAAATAAAATAAAATATAAATATAAAAGAAGTTTGTTATTGATCATTAATATCACAATTTTTTTTTTAAATGTTTGTATAATACAATTTAAATTTTACTAAAAATTAAAATTGCTTCTTTAGAATTATATAATATTATCTAACCTTTTAAAAAAGTATTTTAGCTAGTATTATAAATTTTAGTTGAAATTAAAAATGTGATAAATATGTGACAAATATGATTTTATACTTGAAAAAATTTTAAGTTTTCAAAATATATAGTAAAATAAAATATAAAAGATATGATATGAAATAACAAATTATTTATTATAAAAATCATGAAATATTAATAATAATTATCATTAGTAATATGAAATAATTTTTATATAAAAAATAAAAAATAATAAATATAATAAAAATAATAAAGACATATAAAAACAAAAAGTTATATATTATCATAAGCAGGGTTGGAAAATTTGTATATACTAGGCAAATTTTGACCTTGTACTGTACTAAATTTTATATTAATTATTATATGTACTAACTGTATTAAATTATACTAAGCTGTACTAACTGTACTAATTTCCCAACCCTGATCATAGGTATAATAAATTTTTGTAGTATCAAAAGAATTAGATAAATCTGATCAATTAGGTAAATCATGTAAATTCTTAATATTTTTTTAATTTTTCTGATATAGTATTTGTTAATTATTATTATACATCATCATTTGATAATTTTCACATAATATTTTCTGTATTTATAATAATATTTATTTTTAACATTAATAATTCTTTTTTAATTTTAAGTCTTAAATTTGTATTTTTAAAATTCTTTGAATTTAAATTACTGTCAATATTTTTATTTATAAGAATTGTTTAATTTCAATCTCTTGTACACTTTATTTATTACTTCTTATTAGTAAAATATTATTATTAATTTAATACTCTTTTAATTTATTTTCTTTAAAAAATCTAAAAGTTTACTAATATAATATATATAAATCAAATATTTCTATAAAATGTATGAAAAAAAACTCTTTTCATTGATCACTAAAACAAAAAAATGATTGGAAAAAAAACCGTTCATAATAATAACTTTAAACCTTATCAAGCTTACTCTTCCCCTATGGAGAACGACCAATAACAATAACATCCAGCTAAAAAATAACATATTGAACTACCAAAACAAACTGAAACTTCAAACGCCTCTAGAAGTACATCCAACAGCTCTACAGATATGAAAGTTGAAACTTCGCTTTCCAAAACCTTAAACAAAGGAAAAGATCCTGAAACTTCTAATAATGATGACAATATTCTCTTTGATGAGAACCAAGCCTTTGATGCTTCTGAAAATGGTCTTAATAACAAACAAAATGATAAAAATAAAATCCACTTAGAGCGCGAAACTGAAGTCTTAATCTACTTTACTTACTGCGTCGCAGATAAGTTCTACCCTAAAAAATCTAACAGAGACAAACAAAATGAAGCATGTGATATTTTTGCACCACATTATTCATCCTTTATTGATGCCTCAATTCATATTCACTCTGAGAACTCAATAAAGAAAATTGTTCAAATTGGTTTTACCTTACATGTTAAAGCAAATAATGCAATTATACTTAAACTTTCATGTTTGAAAAATGACACATTCTTATCCCTCACAATCAAACCAATAGCTAAATACATCCCTGAGTTGTCAATCCGTCTCACTGAGATCCTGATCTCTACTACTAAATCAAATATTAGATTGACCTTCTCCTTTTTTAGAAAGATTTCCTGTTGCGTTATGTTCACTAAAAATCTTTAGCAGCAAG